TGGCTACTGCATGGATGATGTGTGAACACGGTCTGATCAAGTCCAGATGGGTGGGAAAAAATGGATTCATTCCTTTGTATTGCAAAATATTTCATGTATCAATCAGTGATTGTTAATATTTTCTCAATAAAATTTTAGAGATGTGTTTTGTTTTACCCTGAACAGTGCAGGTAATGTATTTTTAATGTTAAAACACAGGCTATGGCGACCAGGCCATAACAATGGCGATCGAGCCTTGTCAACGAGAGCTAGCCAAGACAAAATATTTGGAGCTCACTTTTTCTCTACTAATGATAGAATATACATTTGCAGAGATTAATATGTAGCTTTTGTTGAAAAAAAATTAATATGTTAAAATACTATAATAAAATTGGTAAGTTGACTTACTTTTAGTGAAGCTGAAGATTACGAAGCTGTGAAGATTACGTCATCCTCTGGTTACCTTGACCTTGAGATTACCTTGAGGTGCTTCCGGGGCATAGCGTCCCCGCGGCCCGGTCGTCGACCAGGCCTCCTGGTTGCTGGACTGATCAACCAGGCTATTGGACATGGCTGCTCGCAGCCTGACGTATGAGTCACAGCCTGGTTGATCAGGTATCCTTTAGAGGTGCTTATCCAGTTCTCTCTTGAACACTGTGAGGGGTCTGCCAGTTATGCCCCTTATGTATAGCGGAAGCGAGTTGAACAGTCTCGGGCCTCTGATGTTGATAGAGTTCTCTCTCAGAGTACCCGTTGCACCTCCGCTTTTTAACGGGGGTATTCTGCACATCCTGCCATGTCTTCTGGTCTCATGTGATGTTATTTCTGTGTGCAGGTTTGGGACCAGCCCCTCTAATATTTTCCACGTGTAAATTATTATGTATCTCTCCCGCCTGCGCTCAAGGGAGTACAGATTTAGGCTCTTTAGTCGGTCCCAATAGTTTAGGTGTTTTACTGAGTGGATTCTAGCAGTAAAGGATCTCTGCATGCTCTCCAGGTCAGCAATTTCTCCAGCTTTGAAAGGGGCTGTCATTGTGCAGCAGTACTCCACTTTAAAGAGCACAAGCGTTTTGAAAAGTGTCATCATCGGTATAGCATCTCTAGTGTGAAAAGTTCTTGTTATCCAACCTGTCATTTTTCTTGCAGTTGTGACGGAAACTTTATTGTGTTCTTTAAAGGTAAGGTCTTCCGACATGAGTACACCCAGATCCTTTACATTGCCTTTACGTTCTATGTTATAATTTGCCTGAGTTTTGTATGTGGTTTCCGTTTTTATATTTTCATTTTTTTCCATAGCGCATGAGCTGGAACTTATCTTCGTTAAACACCATATTATTTTCTGTAGCCCATAGAAAGACCTGATCTACATCTGACTGGAGGTTTGCCATGTCCTCTATGTTGCCTACTCTCATGAAGATCCTAGTGTCATCTGCAAGGGATGATACAGTGCTATAGGTTGTGTTCTTGTCTATGTCCAATATGAGGATGAGAAAAAGTACTGGAGCAAGCACAGTACCCTGGGGGACTGAGCTCTTCACGGTTGATGGGCTGGATTTTATTTTGTTGACTATTACACATTGGGTTCTGTTGGTCAGGAAATTGTAGATCCATCTGCCTATTTTTCCGGTAATTCCTTTTGAACGCATTTTATGTGCAATAACGCCATGGTCACATTTATCAAAAGCTTTTGCAAAATCTGTGTAAATTACATCAGCGTTTTGTTTGTCTTCCATAGCATCTAATGCCATATCATAGTGGTCCAGCAACTGCGACAGGCAAGAGCGCCCTGTTCTGAAACCATGTTGTCCGGGGTTATGGAGATGCTGTGATTCAATGTATTTTGTGATCTTACTTCTTAGCACTCTCTCAAAATTTTTTATAATGTGCAATGTTAGTGCTATCGGTCTGTAATTTTTTGCCTCTGCCTTATTTCCTCCTTTATGAAGTGGTGCTATCTCTGCTGTTTTTAGTATATCAGGAATAACGCCAGTATCTAGGCTTTGTCTCCACAGAATGTGGAGGGCCTGCGATAATGGTTTTTTACAGTTCTTGATGAATATGGAGTTCCAAGAATCCGGGCCTGGTGCAGAGTGCATAGGCATACTCAGGCGATGAGTCACAATAACGTGGCTGAAGTATGTTGACCAAACCACACACTAGAAGTTGAAGGGACGACGACGTTTCGGTCCGTCCTGGACCATTCTCAAGTCGATTGTGATGAGGAGGTAGGGACAGGCAATAAATAGGATAAATAGGCAAGAGAGAGCTGAGGAGGAAAGTCAGGTGTAGGGGATAGTAGTAATGAGAACTGCAGAAGGCCTATTGGCCCATACAAGGCAGCTCCTATTATAACCACCGAAGGAGATAGTAATAGGAATAAGAAGAGGATAGCAAGGGAGCGTAGGAGAAGACAATGAACAGAAAAAGGGAGAAGAGAGAAAGAAAAGGAAAGAGAAAGAAAGATAAATGGAAGGAGGAAAGCTTATGTTAAGTCACGTTTGTTAGAAAGATTAGAGCATTTGAGTATATACTGTGAAAGGGAAGAGTCCACAGCAACAAAGCCAGGACTCAAGTTCATGTTGGGTACATTGTGTATAAGAGCCGATTCTACAAAACGGCGTCTGTGTAGAGTAGAGGCAGGAAAGATTATTTTGGAGGAAGACCAATCAATGGGATGATTAGAATCCCTCACATGGCAGAAGAGAGCATTGTTAGTGTCTGCAGACTTAACACTTCTCTTGTGTTCTTTAAGTCTGTCATTCAGTGTACGGCCAGTTTTGCCAAAGTATTGGAGAGGACAAGATGAACAGGAAATAGAGTAGACACCAGCAGCATTAGAAGCAGGAGGAGCAGTGTGAACTAGATTGCTACGAAGTGTGTTAGTTTGTCGAAAGGCGAGTTTAATGTCAAGAGGACGAAAGGTATTGGTAAAAGTTTTGAGTTCAGATATGAAGGGAAGGCATAGTACAGTGCTACTAGTGTTGGAAGCAGGTTTAGGATGAAAGAAATTTCGTTTAGCTTGAGAGTAGGCACAGTTGATGAAATGCAAAGGATAACCAAGGCGAGAGAATGATTTGTAGATAAAGGCAATTTCAGAATCAAGAAACTGAGGGTCGCTGATGCGTAGAGCGCGGAGGAAGAGAGAGACGAGGACACTTTTCTTAACAGAAGGAGGATGGTAGGAAAAGAAGTGAATGTACATGCCACTATGCATGGGTTTACGGTAGACAGAGAAAGATAACCCAGACACAGAGCTGTGAACATGAACATCAAGAAAAGGAAGGAGGGAATTAGATTCCCACTCAACTTTCTCAACGTTGAGTGGGAATCTAATTCCCTCTACTTCTTCCCCATATTCCCCACAATACATAGTTGTGGTGTGCAGTCCCACAATAGTTACTCTTCCCAGCTATATATGTATTGGGCCCTTAAAGTGCTAAAAACACAATCCTCCATGCACTCTGGCTCTGTCATCTAGGCATCTTCTACCCCTGATGCTCTTCTTTCAATACACAGAGAGTAATCACACTAACTTGACTGCACCAATGAGAAAATTCGTAGGAGCCGCGGTGAGGGTTTGAACCTATGCAGTTCGAACGCATGCGGTGCATGGGAGCACCCACTGCATAGGTTCAAATCCTCATCATGGCTCCTACGGATTTTCTCGTTGATGCAGTCACATTAGTGTGATTACCCTCTGTGTATTAAAAGAACAGCATCAGAGGTAGAAAATGTTCCTGGAGTGTAACCAGAAACTCCTGGTTACAATCCTTTTGATCATGTTGTAGTCTAGCCGCAAGCGCATGTGCTTGCGAACACCCACCGTATAGGTACGAGCCTTTATCACAGCTCCCATAGATTTTCTCATTGATGCAGTCACGTTAGCGTGATTACTCCCTGTGTATGAAAAGAGGAACATCAGAGGTAGAACATGCCTAGATGACAGAGCCAGCGTGAATGGAGTTATTGTGTGAAAATCCTAGTTCGGTTTCAGAAGAAGCCTCAGGAAATCTTTGTGAGCACAGTAGAATTCCAGGTCGCAAACCTTTTGACCATGTTGTGGTGTAGTCGATAGCGTGCGTGGAAGTACCCAGTGCATAGATTCAAACCCTCATCATGGCTCCTATGGATTTTCTTATTGATGCAATCAAGTTAGAATAATTACTCTGTGTATTGAAAGAAGAGCATCAGAGGTAGAAGATGCCTGGATGACAGAACAAGAGTACAGGGCGGGTAATGTGTGAAAATCCTGGTTCAGCTTCAGTGGAAGCCTAAGAAATCCTTTGTGAGCTCAGTATAACTTCAGGTTGGAATCCTTCTGAGCATGTTATGATCTAGTCGCTAGTATGTGTGCGTGGGATTACCTACCATATAGGTCCTAAGCCTCATCATGGCTCCTATGGATTTTCTCAACGTAGATAGTTATATACACGTGTATATAGTGTAATAACAGTAAAAATACTGATCTTAGAATATAATATACATGTCACATGTATGAGCTCCATAATTTTGAGCACAGAGATGTTCCACAGTTTGAACTATATAAATTCCACAAATTACACACTTTTAAATAATATTACAGCAAAAAACGGAAGAAATGAATGAGACATTGAAATAATTATGAAAATTATATTAGCAGCAACTGTCGCCCCACGTGGTGGCGGGGTCGAGTGTCCCGGAGCACCTCATCACTCAGCTCCATCACGGCTAAAGTATGTCACATACAATATTTTATTTTAGTTTCCCGTGATCAGAGACTGCATTTTAACAAAATAAGAAAAAAAAAAATTTGAGAAATAATTTATTTTTGGCACACCACAAGGATATCATATTGTAATGCAGTGCTGTGGTTAATGGAATATAGAAGTACAATACACGTATAGCAATAAAGATATGTAGCATAAATAATGCCATCTTGACTCACCCATTTGTGCCAAATATCTGAAGACAGTTAACTTTAAAAAATTTAACCCTGAATGGATGAGTAATTTACTAACAGTACATTTCAAAATGTAACTTACCCAGGCCAACCCTCAAATGTAGACACAGTGAAGAGTGTCAACATAGCTTTGGCTACATTGTCGAAGTGAAAGGCATTTTTCTCCCAAACTCTCTTCTCCACCATAGGCTTGGTAATATCTCCATCATGGTAGACTATAAATTGACCCCTAAAGATGGAAAGGAACTTGAAAAATATATTTAAAAATTTTAATGATATTTGAGTGAAATGGAGTGATAATGACAAATCAGGAAGTAACAGTAGTAATAATGTTGGATTGCTGCTAGAGTGATGAAGTGAAGGTAACTCACAGGGAGGTGTTAGTGATGAATGACACAATGATGGTGTGATGAAGATGTTAATGATATGGTGGATGATGATGGTGGCAATGGACATAATAGTTTATGGTATAGCTATAAAGTAGTGAGAAAGAATAATGGAGATGATGAGTCACAATAATGTAGCTGAAGATATGATGACCAAACCACAAATTGGAAAGTGAAGAATCAATGAGGTTTTGGTACATCCTGGACAATTATCAAGCAGCAAAGCTTAATAATGGTCCAGGATGGATTGAAACATCGTTGTTTCTTCACTTTCTGATGTGTTGCTTGGTCAATGATGGTGCTAAGTTGTGGAAATAATAGGATAACAGTGATCATAATATACTACATAGTGATAGAGTGTTTTAATGTTGTGAGGAAAAGATGGAAGTAATCATGACAAAGTGAGAAAGTGGGTGACATGGGCTTTGATAATGCAGATGTGGGAAGTCTGGTAGTTATAACCTAAAATTAGTCAAAATATATGTTCAGCCTTGTAGTCTTCACTAAAAAGCTGAGATACAAATAGTCTTTTGAAAGATGATTACTTAACAGTATCAAAATACAAAACATGATGTCCTTATAAACATTCTGACATTTTGGAACTGTCGAGACTTGATCTGGGTACTAGTGAGTTTGTGGATTTTGTGTGTACACAATCGGTCAATCCCTAGCAGGGTTAGTGAGACTTTTCTTCATAAAAATACACACGTAACATTTTCATATGGTTCAGTTACAGTCGGTGGGAAACTGCGCCAACCAAGAAAACTCGGTCGGTTTTAACCTGAGTACTAACCCAGCCCAGGACTGCTGGCTGGGTTAGTACTCAGTAAGCAACCATGGGTGGCACATGCGCCTCTGGCTCCCAAACACCTGTCCGACACGGTGTTGAAAAATCGTTCTCTTCCATTGATCTTCAGACCTTATTGTTTGAAGAACATAAGGGTCATAATATTGATCAAGCTAGGCGCAATAAGGACCTAGCACACAGGTCGGATGCAAGTGATACAGTACCAATGAAGATGATACAGCGAGCATATCCAGTTGTTGCTCTGAGCGCCACCCTTCCTATCTTCAATTTTTATAGATGATACATAGAAGAATCATTTTCTGGGTTCAGTGATGATGCATCTAATACAAGTAGCATAGATGAAAAGTGTTAGCGGCTTCCATGGTGGTGCTTTCCATAGATATTTTTAAGAATAGCTGAATCTTTTCCAGAATGAATGATTCTCTTCCAGTGAGGGACATTACAAAGCGATCTTTTCAAGACTTCCTTACAAATGGATCTTTTCCTATAATCTTTTCAACACTACCTTATGCTTCACAAGCTTGGCTACATTCCACCTACAGGTACTAAAGCCAAAGGTGTACATGAGTGTGTCATTTGCAAGCGCATAGGACAAAGAAACAGGAAGTGAAATCTATTTGTACCTGGCGCAATGAGAGCGAAGTCGCGCTGTGTACCATGGACTGTTTCGTTGATTATCACTCACTTCCGAAGTAATGAGTGTGTAATACAGTGTGTTACTGTGAAAATAGTGTGTGAAACTGTACATATTGTAATTTTAGTGAATTTTTAACACATAATATTGTGACAATAAACATTTATTGTGGACACATTACTGATACATGTATCACAGTTCCATGGACCATTATGAATGTTCTACTGTATACATATTGTAAAGAACATAAATATCCATCATATACGATAAAAAAAATAAAACCACAATAGAAATTCATATAACAAATAATTAAAAATATATTTGTAGCAACTCGCGGTGCTTAAATGGTGCACACATTTCTCTGGGGGCGTCGCCCTGACATGAAGCGTCGTTCTCCACATCCCCACAGCCAAAGTATGTGAAATTCTTTAGTTTTTTTTACATGTACATGATCAGGGAAGAGAATTTATCATTTTGCAAGGAACAAAATTTTTTTGCGAACACTTGATTTTATGCACACATGTGAAATATCACAATAAACTCAGCGCATCACAGTGGTTAACTACTGTGATGCGCTGAGTTTATTGTGACATTTCCCCCTGTGCACATGAAATCAAGTGTTCCCAAAAAATTATTTTTTGTTTGTAAAATGCTACATTTTAATCATCTCCCAATCACCTACAAGACAGGTGATTGGGAGCCAGAGGTGCGTGCGCCAGCCATGGTTGCTCATTCAGTACTTATCCTGCCAGCAGCCCAAGGGAAATCTGGGAATTTTGTTCAAGATGGCTGTCTCTCACTATAAGAAATTTTGTTTGGGAATTATTTAATTTTTTTCAAGTAGGCAGGAATGACCATTTATCAATAGCCACACGTTGATGTCTAAATTAGTATTTTGTGAGGCTGGTGGTCACCAAAAAATAAACAAAGTTACTCTATACTGATATTGAGGGGGAATAAAATACAATATATAAATTCTTCTACCAGTGTATAGTCTAGGAACTATAGTTAAATAATACTTTATTAAGATTTATTATTATTATTATTATTATTAAATTTCCTAAACTTCTGGTAGATATAAATCTTTAAGGATGTTTCCATTTATTTCCAGTCTGCTGGTTGACCTTAAGTTGCATTAAAAAACCCAGCGTTAAATGTAGTGAAACGCCATTTTCTGGGTGAGTCCCATAGGCTCCCTGGAGCTATCCAGGCTGATATGCTGATGTCAGACTTTGGCATCAGTCATATGTATGGAGTTCTTTGGGCCTACCGGGGACCACGGGCCAGAACCTGGCCCCCTCGGAGAGGCAAGGGGAGCAATGGCCCATAGAAACCCCCGTGTGGTTGGAAGCATTCTATGTCTGCCATCGACCGGATCAGGCACCCAGAAAGGTAAGCGTCCCAAAACAAACCCCTATTCTGGTTAAAATTGTTACCAAAAGCTGAACTAGTGGATAAATCTCTCCAAACAAAAATGAGCAAACTAGTATGATGTCATCCGTCGTCGCGGCGCTATCTGCACAGCTTCCCCCTTCCTCAGGAGGGGGAAGGGGGAGCCCCAGACCCCCCATGCCGGCAATCCACACCCCCAGTTCTGAGGCTGGATGTCAAGTGAAAAGCAAAAAAAACGCAGACTGGAGCGAGGGAGGGATGCCAGGGAGCCTGCGGGACTCACCCAGAAAATGGCATTTCCTTACATTTAACGCTGGTTTTCTAGGGGGAGCTCCTACGGCTCCTCGGAGTTAATTACCCACAGAGGAATAAAGGGACTTACCTGGGAGGTGGTCGCCGCTCATTCCTCAACTCAAAGACGAGATAACTGGTTGTTACTGCCGATCCAAAACGACACAGGCCTGACTAGGCCCAGGAACGTTCATGAGATAACGAGCAGCCAGAACCCTGTTTGACCGCCAAAATCCCCGAGCCTGAATGTCAGCCCACAACATATTGCCACAGACGGCGGCATGAGCTGCGAACTTGCAAACATCATGGGCTGACTGCAAGCAGACCAAAGGCTGGTTAGCCTTAATAGTCCTGTGAACGACCTGGGAGACCCATACCCACGAACAGGGAAGAAGAGAAACCGGATCAACCCAAAGCGCATCCACGGACACAGAAGCTGTCGAGCACAAATAACGGCGGAGAGCCGCAACCGGACACAAAACATGATGCATCCCCGGTCTGACCAACAATGCATCAACAACCCAAGGACCCCTCTGGAAAGCGGGAGTCTCATTCTTTGCCAAAAAAGAAGGAGACGGCTGCAGAGGAACAAACCTATTGCCCCGACCGAAGGAGTAGAAACCCCTGCGCCGGAGGAAAGCATAAAATTTACCAACCCGAACCCCAGAGGCTAATGCCAACAGGAAAAGAGCCTTCGAGAAACAATCCTGAACCAAAGGGGCCACAACAAACCAAGGAGAAGAAAGAAAAGAGAGCACTCTTTCCAAAGACCAGAACGGCTCAGGCGGTGCATGAGCAGGCCGGAGGTGAAACAAAGCCCGAGACATCTTGCAAAACAGCGCAGACGGAACATCAATACCGAAAGCAAGCTGAAGCAGCTCCACCAGTGCCGCACGATACAAGGCAACAGTGTTAGGCATAAGGAGACGGTCCTGGAACAACAAAAAGAGAAAGGACAACACCACCATAACAGAAAGCAAAGTACAACAATGAAGATGCAAGAAGAAGCGGAAGGACTGCCAGGAAACTTCATACTGTTGCCGAGACAAAGCCCGCAGGTGGGACACTAACAAGGAAGTCACCTGATCACCATAGAGATGATGATAAACTCAAGTTAAAAATACCATACGCGAAGACTTGAGGAGAAGATTGAACCAGCCATGTAACGTTCCGGTCCGATCTGCTGGAAGAGGCAGAGCCCCGGGAAAACCTCCGGGTTCGGACATCGAGAGAGCAGCGCCTGAAACGATGGCTAGGCCAGACACCACAGGCCAAGAGGACAACTCTTTCCCTGGTAAGTCTCCAAGCAAGTCAGGACGCGGAGCAACAGCTGAACCGGGGAAAAGAGATAAAGGAACCCCCATCTCAACCATTCCTGCCGAAAGGCATCGACCTCAACGGCCTCGCAGTCAGGGAAGGGCGCCACATACAGGGGAAGGCGCCGCGACCACGCCGATGTGAAGAGATCCACCTCTGGGCATCCGAACGTCTAGCAAAGCCAACGGAAGGAGTCGGCATCGACCGTCCATTCCGTGGAGAGGGGATCAAAATGAGACAGGCCATCGGCCAAAACGTTGGACACTCCTCGAACGTGAACTGCCAGAAGAGCCAAACCCTGAGAACTCAGCAGACCAGTCATCCGAAGCGACAAGCACCAAAGAGCCAAGGACCGCATCGAACCCACTCGGTTCAGACAATGACCACCGGGGAGCAGTCCGAATGGAGCTGGATTGTCAACCCGTGGGCGACCCGAATCCTCCAAAGAGCAAACCACACCGCCGCGAACTTCCGCACTGTGCTGTGGGCTCGACGGAAGGATAGATCCCACCGTTCCTGGCCAGCCTGGTGAGCACTGGTCACAAAACACCAGCTGAGAGATGACGTGATTCACCCCATCAATGGGGTGAACCACGATAGGGCCGGCGCCCCTTACGTGACCCTGAACCTCGCACAGAGCGAACACCGCGCCGACCAGACAAAGGCGGGTCCGAAGGCGGAGTCGAACCCGAACCCGAACCCGGCACCAGTGGCCTAGTGCAACAAGAGGAACCCCGAGCCCTGGCACGACCCTTCCAGGAAGGCCCACCACGGAACCCCTGGAGAACCAACATGTTCGACATAGGATGACAAAAAGGCGAAGCAGCCTAAATATACTGCGCTACGACTGAATCCTCAAAGAGCAGAGGACAAAAAGGTGAAGACATCCTAAGAGCCAAGGCCCGAGCAGATTTCACAGAGGAGGCAAGCACCGCCTGCCGACACGCGAGCCGGGAAGCATAAAACAGGGAAACCGCATCCCGCAAGATCGGCGCAAAAAGCTTCAATAAGGCAGCCGACGAGCGAGCCGCCGAGGCCAAGGTGCCAGAACCAGGAACAGCCCAAAGCGCTCCCACATCCTCCACAAGCCAGTCCGAAGACAGCTCCAGGAGGGAAAAGAAACGCAAGGCCGAAGCCAAGAGGCCCCGGGCACGCAAGTCCTCAGCCACCAGCGCAGTTGAAAGGGAAGGAACTTGCACATCATGCTGAATGACGCCAGCATCACGTGGAAGGGCAGGAGCAAACAAGTACTCATTGAGGTGCTCAAGGTCACCCCCCAGGAAAACCTAAACAACCGTCGAAGCCTCCCGCCACTCAAGCGTGCGGGAACGGCAGAAGGAGTGCCAAGCCTCGAAGGGCAAAAGCAGAACAGTTTGCCAGCCAGGATGACTCAGGGACCTTGTAACGGAGCCAGAAAGGGAACGAAGTCCCAAACCTGAACGCCGAGGGATCCAGTGCCGAGGCATAATCCAGGTCATGCAGGAGGTTAGCTGCAAGGGCCACCCGCACCCCAGCAGGTTGGATGTGATAGCCAAAAACCTCAAAAATGACGGAACCGAAGCACCCAGGGGAACACGGAACCAAACCCGGGGAGGGGCAGATACCAAATCCAACTCGTACGCACAGGGGGGGGGGAAGAAAACCCCACTCCTTGTAACAGTAAGCCCTGCTCAGAGGGCAGAAAAACCCAGGCGGGGTCCAGCAGGGCCCACGGCCCCCAAATCAGCCCCTCCCCAGCACCAAGGTCCTGCTCCGCAAGACCCAGGGCCGAGCCCTCCCCCCAAGCACCGAACCCACAAGACCAGGCCGGCCCAACCGTAGAAGCCGGACAGAAGGGGGCCCACTGGTCAGACCCAGAGGCTTTGGCCGGGGGACTAGACTCGAATACCTCTGTCGCCACACCAGAAGTAGCATTCCCAGAAGCTGCCTGAGTCTCAAGACCAACTAACTCCTGCCCCGACTCCGAAACCTTCAGACGTTTCGGGGCCGGAAGCAGGGGAGGGGGACCAGAATGAACAACACGAGAGGAAGGATAAGGAGGTGCGGACTGAACCAGGGTCGAGGCAAGTCCCCATGTCCGGATCCCTAATAGCAAAATGGGGCAGTTGCGGGGCATCTGGGTGAGCAACCAACCGAGCGCGTTGCAACAACCAAAACCTAGCATTCAACGTCTGCGCGGCCTGTACCCTAAGATGATCATAAGTAGATTGGGTACATTAAGTCAGCAGCAACCAGCAAAACTCACAGGACTCAGAGTCAAAAGTGTCACCGACCCAACAAGCATCGTGACGGAGGCAAAAACAGTGAGGGTCACCCTGAGACAAGGGGACCGAACAACCCTCAAACTTGCATGAAGCGAGGGGGGACTCCGGGGTCACATCCATCGTACCCATGCGCCCCCAGGGGATTCCCAGGGGCCTGAACGTTTATTATAAGAGGACTCGCGCCCAGATAACCCCAGGTAGGGTACTGCTAACGGGAGCCCAACACTACCAAACAAACTGTCTACAGCTGAATCCCAGGGACGTGTACACTCACTGGGACCTAGCAGGGAGCACCACCAAGGAAAACCGTATTAGGTCAAGCACCAGTGGCAAGTAGGGCAGATCCCCCTACAGGGCGAAAACAAAACAAAAAAAAAAACCCTGCAAGAGGACAACGTACCCCAAGGAACAATGTCGGTCGCTGTAATTGGTGAAAACAAGCTGCGTAGCACCGTGCGCCCCTGACCAGTTCAAACTGCCACTTACCCTAAGATAAACAAGGGAGACAGAACACCCAAGCACCCAAAGGGCAGCTGAAAAACCGAGCAGTTAAATGGCAATGGCCCAGCAGAGGCATGTCCCGAGGGACTTGTGGAAGGTAACCACAAGCCCCAAGGGCAGTACTTACAGGGCACCTAGGGAAGGTAACCCTAGGGGCATGCAGCCCGAGTACTGAGGACTAACTCCTGGCTCTCGCACCCCTGGAGAATAGCCACCACACACTAAGCACAGCGCTACAAAAACTCTGGAGCCAGAGCACACAGCTGTTGCCTCTAGCATCAGCCTAAGAACTGGGGTGTGGATCGCTGGCGTGGGAGGTCTGGGGCTCCCCTTTTCCCCTCCCGGGGAGGGGGAGGTGTGCAGACAGCGGCGCGACGACGGATGGCATCATACTGGTTTGCTCATTTCTGTTTGGAGAGTTCTATCCACTAGTTCAGCTTTTGGTAGCAATTTTAACCAGAATAGGAGTTTGTTTTGGGATGCTTACCTTTCTGAGTGCCTGACCCGGTCAATGGCAGACATAGAATGCTTCCAACCACATGGAAGATTCTATAGGCCATTGCTCCTCTTGCCTCTAGAGGGGGCCAGGTTCTGGCTCGTAGTCCCCAGTAGGCCCAAATAATTCCATATACATGACTGATGCCAAAGTCTGACATTAGCATATCAGCCTGGATAGCTCCGGGGAGCTGTAGGGGCTTCCCCCCAGAAAATTAAATTTCAGTTATAGTACTTGGAATTTAAAACAGGTAAAGTAGATAAAACTAGCAATTGCAACTTTCAAATATATATGGATTTAGCTAAGCTACTTACGTACATGTATCCAACTGCTGAATTAAATTATTATCCCACTGATTCTTTGTGATCATATTTATACCAAGAAAATTTCAAAGTTATTACTCTTCTAAAAAGAGGTAAATTAATGTTGAATGAAGTATTACATCTATTAGATCAATTTGTGTGCTAATAATGTTACTTTCAGAATCCATCATGCTTTTTCCTCCAAACAGTGCTATGTCTGCTCCTACCCAATAGCAACTTCTTACTGACATTCTACCTCAATTGATTTGGCACTATCACTGTAATTGAAGAACTTTTCCTAAAAATCAGTAAGACAAGTTAATAATGCAATGAAAAGATTTGTATCATTATGTATGAGTGTGTATAAGTATGTGTGTATGTTTAGATTTACTTACCTACAATCTGACTCCAAGATTTTGGACCTGTCGTTACAGCGGAAGAACTTGCCCTGGTAAAGCATAAAGAAACATACACACACCTTCAATTAGTCAAAATTTCCTTGTATATTTGTTATCACTGGAATAAGACAATTTAATTTATTCATAGTACTAATCTAGGTAAACTTTATACACTCATATTAATATTAAATTACATGGGGGCCCTAATTTATGACGAGTAAACATTCCTAATTTTCTGTCAAAGGTCAGTCAGTAATCAAAACCCAATTGCCAATAGGTGCAATATAACAAATGGGAGACAGATTCCTAACGAACTAAAAATTGGCATATTCAAAAATACATAAATAATGTTAAATACTTTACCTTGAATTTTCAGAAAAACAGTTATTCTGTTTACACTATTAAGTTAACGTTACATATATATTTTATATTTCCCTAAGCCAGCCCTCTGAGTTAAAATTTTAAACAATTAGTAATCTTTTAACACTTTCGTCGGAAGGGACGTATATGACATCCACATTTAACTCTGCAGATGTGCGGGAGGGATGTATATGACGTTCAAATTTAATATATTTGTTAAAATAAAATTTTTTATCCAATCATTCTGGAACGTGTTTTAAACTTTGTGCCAATGTCTTCCTGTTTTCTGTTAGGGGTCATATAGCATCAAGGCACGGGTAGGCCACGTAGGCCCCCAATGCTGTTGGGCATTGTACCTGCACCAACAATGTTGATGGACATTATGAAGTTGCCAGTTATGAGAATGTACTGGCAAACAGGTAAAATGTGACCTGTATCTTGTTTCAATACTTCTATGACTTTTATACTTTTTATTTCGTAACACAAAAATTGACGTTATCAAACAAAAAGACTATACACATTTGTGTGCAGGTGTAGCGAGTGTGCAAATGCATGCTCGCTCATGGCTAATGCTTGGCTGACTTTCACCTTTGCTGCGCGGAGGGGGAGGGGGAGTATTTTGGACTTTATATGCATATACCCCTATAGAGAATTCTATTGCAAACAAATTTATACCAAAAGGAACGAAATAGCACGAGAATTGAGGTGAGAATCCTGAAAAGAGTAGACACATCTTGGTGGAGTTGAGCACTCACGGGGTAACCCTCAGCCGATTTGAGAGTTTGATGTAGGTGGTATGCCAGGCTTTTGGACTTCATATGTATATATCCCTGTAGGGAATTGTATTGCGAACAAAACGATACCAAAATGAACCATGTAACACGAAAATTGAGGTGAGAAAACTGAAAAAAGTATACATATTTGAGTCTGGCTACGAGCTCCCAAAGAAACACTCGAAGTACCTAGAAGTAGGTTAGGGAGCGTGTGCCGGGGACGGGAAAGTGTTAAATATATTGTAACTGAAACCCCCTTCCTATCTCAAAATTGTATTGTATTTTATTTTAATTAGTTATGCATGTATATATGTAGACAATCACATGATTTCTGGACACTGCTTATCTGGATATGTCAATTGTTCATTTTGGGTGTGTCTATATAAAATTTGTGAAAAAGTTGTGAGGCGAAAAGGCAGTCCAAATATAAATGAGCGATAAAGTGGATGGACCTAATCTGGTCAGTGACCATATTGGGTGCCACATACCCATATGGCATCATAAACCTATGGCCCACTGATTCAATTTGTCACAAGGCATTGGAGCACTCATTCCTGTTATATTTTTGCATATACTTTATCCACAAAATTTAGGAACATCCTTGCTCAATGACAGCTTCAAATGCAGGCATTCTTTCAGTGAAAGCTTCTAAAAGTGACAAAACTAGAGTAAAAAAAGTATATGCTGACATTTGATTACAAAGTTTAACACGTATTGCACTTTTATTTAATATGATAATCTCGTGGGGCATATAAAAAACAAATTATTTTCAAATTTATGCTCTTTCTAATACAGTATTGTTAAAAGGTATTCCCTGATTATGGGAAACTAAACAAAATATTGGACGTAACTTACTTTGGCTGTGATGGAGTGAGGAAGTTTCACAATTCATGAACATTGAGTGATTAGTCGCCCTGTGGCGCTTGCCCGAAAGCTCCACTATGCAGGAGTTGCCACAAAGATATTTTTAAATAAATATTTCAATGTCTCTAAATGTTTTTTTCTTTTTTTTTAAGTAATAACATTGAATAGTGTGTAATTTGAGGAATTTATGTAATCAAATGTGTAGAATATTGATACGCTCAAACCAGTTGTTGAATGCAATGAAACGCCATTTTCTGAGTGAGCCCTGGAGGTTCCCTGGAGCTATCGGGCTAATGTGTGATATATTAGACAGGGAGCATTAGTCTATGGAGTTCAGCCTACTGGGGACCACAAGCCAGAACCTGGCCCCCCTCAGAGAAGTTCAGGGGGCAATGGGACTGGGAAACTCCCCCCCCCCCTGTAGTTGGGATTTTTTCTTAATCTGCTATCGACCAGGGTTAGGCATCAAGAAATGTAGGCATAACAAAAGAAACCCTACACAGTAAGAAAAGTACAACAAAAAACCAAAAAGAGAGGCAGAACTCCCTTCAATCCCAAGGAAACAAGCAAACGTTACACTCCACTGCTGTGCCGCTCGTCCACGCAGCCCTCCCCTCCCCACGCTGACTAACCCAGCACTCCAATTCGGAAGCTAAGCATCAAACAAGGCAAAAAAATGTTGACCAGTTTTGCCAGGGAGCCTCAAGGGCTCACCCAGAAAATGGCCTTTCATTACATTCAATGCTGGTTTTCTGTGACGAGACCCTTCAGCTCCCTAGTGCTACATAACCAACAATAAGGAAAAGAGGGACATACCCAGGAGGTGAACACCACATACCCCTCAACGTGAAGTCGAGACAACGGGCTGCAAACTGCGTCCCACAGCAACACAGGAACACCCAGAAGCAGGAACGTTAACCAAATAATGGGCAGCCTTTTCCGATTTTCTTTACCTTTTTCGACCTCCAAAATCCCTGCACCCGAATATCAGCCCAGGACATGTTGCCAAACATGACAGCCAAAGTAGCAAATTTCCTAATGTTATAGGCACGAGGACAGAGCGCAAGCTGGCTAGACTTAATAACTCTGCGAACAACATGGAAGACCTGAGCCCAGGAACAAGGAATGAGAGAAACCAGATCAACCTAAAGCGCATCCCGTCACCAAAGTCGAAGTGCGCATATAACGGCGGAGAGGACACAACAGGACACAACACATGATGCATCTCGAGCCTGACCATTCAAGCATCAATGACCCCAGGACCATTCTGGAAAGAAGCTGTCTCGTTCTTTGGTAGAAAAGACAGAGAAAGCTGCACCCGAACAAACCGACCACCAGGACCGAAAGAGCAAAAACCCCTGCACCGGAGAAGAGCATGATGCTCACTGACCCGACCCCCAGAGGCATATGCTAACAGAAACAAAGCCTTGGAAAAACAATCTTGAACTAAAGAGGCCACCATAAACTGAGGAAGGGAAAGATAGGACAGCACCCTGTCAAAAGACTAGGAGGGCTCAGGCATGAGCAGGCCGGAAGTGAAACAAAGCACGAGAAAGCTTACGGAACAAAGCAGAAGTGACATCCATCCAGAAGGCAAGCTGGAGCAGCTCCACCAGCACTGCACGATATGAGGCAATAGTATTAGGCATCAAATGATGGTCCTGAAAAAGCCAAGAAAGAAAGGACAAGACAACCCTATCCAAAATAGTAGAAACCTACAAAGGGAGAGAAAATGGTGGACAAACCCCAAGAAACTTCATTCTGTCACCAAGAAGAAGCTCTCAGGTAGGACACCATCAATGGAGCTACCTGATCACCATACAAATGGTGATAAACCCCACTCAAAAGGACCAAATGCAAAGAGCTGAAGAGAAACCGAACGAGCTGTGTACCAGACTGGTCCGACCTGCTGGAAGAGGCAGAGCCATGGAAATGTACTGAGTTCGCACACCGAGCAAGCAGAGCCTGAAACCCAGGCTGGCCCGGACACCAAGGAGCCATGAGGACTACTTTTCCCCGGTAGGATTTCAACCAAGCCAGAACCCGAAGCAACTGCTGGACGGGTGGGGAAGAGTTGCAGGTAACCCCACCTCTTCCAGTCCTGCTGAAAGGCATCCACCGCAACAGCCTCGCAGTTGGGGAAGAGTGCCACATAGATTGGGAGACGCCAAGACCCACCTCTCCTTGCCCAAAACACTATGCGTACTAGTGGTTTTAGGTATTGTATGTACTACCTCTGTCTTTAAATCTAACAGAATGTTTGTACTGTAACTCTGCAAATATGTATGTACTGTTCCTAAATAAATTATTATTATTACTATTATTATTATTATTATTATTATTATTATTATTATTATTATTATTATTATTATTATTATTATTGTTAGATAGAAAACTGTCACCTGAGAACCACATTAAGGACATTGTGCGAGGAGCCTATACTACACTTTCTAACTTCAGAATTGCTTTTAAATACATGGATGGCGAAATACTAAAGAAATTGTTCACAACTTTTGCTAGACCAAAGCTGGAATATGCAGTGGTTGTATGGTGCCCATATCTTAAGCTGCACATCAACAAACTGTAAAAAGTGCAAAGACAGGACACTAAGTGGCTCCCAGAACTGAAGGACAAGAGGTACGAGGAGAGGTTAGAGGCATTAAATATGCAAAATCTAGAAGATAGAAAAAAAGAGGCGATATGTCAATACGTACAAAATAGTAACAGGAATCGATAAAATTGAAAGGGAAGAATTCCTAAGACACGAAACTTCAGGAACATGAGGTCATAGATTTAAATTAACTAAAGAAAGCTGCTGGAGAAATATAAGAAAATTCACTTTTGTAAACAAAGTGGTAGACAGTTGGAACAAGTTAGGTGAGAGGGTGGTGGAGGCCACAACCATCAGTAATTTCAAAGCGTTATATGACAAGGAGTGCTGGTAAGACGGGACACCACGAGCATAGCTCTCATCCTGTAACTACACTTAGGTAATTACACTTACTAGAATTAATTACACTTACTAGGTAATTACTAGACTCCGGGTCAAGGGT